CGACGCCAGGCGACTATTTCAGGTCTCTCTATCAATACTGACTTCCGATTACGCGTTTCGTAACGAAAATTAATTTCGTGCAGGGATTTCCTCATTACCTCGACGCTCATTTGGGGTATAATTTCATTTTCCTTGATCGCTGCATGTGCAGCCTTGAGGGTTGGTATCTCATTCCTAAAGAAGAATGAATGTACGGTTCTCCTTAACGCCATTTTGCTATCGTCATCCAATTTAACGGCCTTTCGTTCCTTCAAATTAAACTTTGGATCAGTAGTAGCTCCAGTTTTCTTCTTTTCATGCACCACCCTGCGAATGGTCCACTCTGGAACCCCTGTCATACTTTCACAACGCGCGAGTGCATCTCCCTGCGACATAGTTCTGTTCAGATAATTGAACACGTTGAGCACGATTTCTTTCGCGTCCCTCTTCGGTGCTTTACGAAGCCGTCTACTTGTTCCCTGGCTTTCAGTACTTCCACTCGTGCCATTTGTACTCTCCATGGTTAAGTATAACCAAAACAGTAACCACAGAAACCACAACAACAACAATCACGCAACAATTCCTATAAAAACACACAATATGCGATCGCTCAACGAAACACGTTCCAATGCGTTGCCGACGCCTATGAGTCTGCCGGTCGAGGCGCGTCTTTGATTTCATTGGTTCTAACGGCGGAGAACAATTAGCCATTATTTCCATCTCTGTCACCGCAAAGCCACAGAAACGACATATGTCGTACGCTATACGGCTGTACTGGAAGGAAGCCGGGATCGAGCTCTGATCACGTGTTGATCACGCGTATGAGTCATTACAGTTTTAAATAGTTGTAGTATAGTAGTATTCATGGACAGTGAACTGAGAATTTTCGATGAAAATATCTCTAACTTGTGTAACATGTTAACTGGCCTAGCACCATTGTTTTCACTAACAATTCCACGAACAGTTCCAGGGTGTAGTTCTGGATGATAATAGCGAGGTAGATGCGTCATAGTCCATCTGACTGTCTGCCTGATAGTGTGTGTGATTTAATGTGGAGTTCAAAAGATTATCCGTTTGTCGTTTTAGTATCGATTTTGGCGGAACCGAATCGAGCTCTATTGTTAACGTTTTATGCGAATCTAGAAGCGATTTTATGTGCTGTGTAAAGTAGATAGACAGGAGTTAAATTCCGTATCGGACATTCGCCGTTTACAGTTTATCGAGTTTCAATGTATCTTATGACGTACAGAGTTGGGGAGGTTGACTATGCAATGCAAAAGTAAGCGAAAATCTCACAAAATGCTCACAACGTTCATCTACTCATCAGTCTGTAAAGTTTAAAAGACAGTATTTCGAATGGGTGTATTTTTTGCTACACTTTTATATCTTAGATAGTTGCTCATAATTCAAGTAGACAGACAAGCAATAAAATGAAAAAACTAGCAGCCCATCAGTTTACTTGAAAAAGGCCATCGTGATAGCCGAAACGTCGTACATCAAACTAATTGAAACATATGTGGTTTGAATTTTATTAGCGGTAAGATTAATGGAGTGCTACCAGCCTGAAAGCCACGGGATGAGTTCCAGGTGTTACATGTCAGAGTAATCGTAATCGTTATGTATTGAAAATTACATTATATTTAAAAAACCCTTTATGGGTTTTTAAAAGTCTATTTTACTTTCTTTCTTTATTCACCCTGTACTGCATAAAGTCCGCTAAGCTATACTGAGTGACAAAAGGGCCAACAAATACTTAAGACTTCTGGCTCTGAGAGACAGATTCAGTAGTACTTGAGCCATCGCTAATCAGTGGTTTGAAGAGTATGGAAGGATGGTTGGTATGCGTACGGTATATCGCCGAATTCGGAAGCTTGACCTTTTTTTATCACCCATATTGGGTGGTACCTCTCACAGCTGAACATCGGTGTAACCGTTTGTTCTGATGCAGAGAAAGAATTCTATGGGACTGGCAATGGAATTAGGTGGTCTATAGTGACGAATCCCGCTTCTGTCTGGGGATGCACGATGGGCGGGCATGTTGCCAGATCACGGTTAGCGTTCATGGATCAACATCGCATCAACCGTTTACCTTGGCCACCACCATGATCTGACCTATCTCCAATTGAACATGTCTGGGATATGATAGGTCGCAGGCTCTTCAATTTGCAACACCCTCCACAGCAGCTCATACTCACGAAGTTGAAGTAGCCTGGAATAAGATATCCCAACAGGATATCGACCACCATGTCAGCACGATACCCAGGCGTGTCAATGAGTGTATAAGAAATCGTGGATCCTCTACACATTATTGAACCAGCTTCTGCAGTCAGTTGACGAATCAAGCTGAAAATTCAATCATTTCACCAGTAAGAGACACTGAACATATAAATGCCAAAAATTATTAAAATCGGAGAAGCATACGAAGGTGTTTACCTTTTTTTTGTCACTTAGTATATGTCCCCTACTGACGCTACTAACGGGTGATTTTTTAAGAGGTATAGGATTTGATTTAAAAAAAAACACAAAAATTTGAAAAAACGATTAAATCTTTATTTGAGTCGATAGAACGGTCGATATAATTTAATGTTTAAAGATTATATCATGTAAATGTTGGCCGCGGCTCCGCTTTAGATGGCCCATGCGCAAGGTCCAATTTTGGCACACTCTCTCCAACATATCGGCCGGTATCTCACGAATAAATGCTTCAATATTGGCTTCCAGTGCGTCAATCGTTGCTGGTTTATCCCTGTAGACATTAGCCTTAACATGGCCCCACAAGAAATAGTCCAACGGCGTTAAATCACACGATCTAGGCGGCCAATTGACGGGCCCCAAACGTGAGATAAACTGTTCACCGAACTCGCCTCTCAATAGGGCCATTGTTTCGTGTGCGGTGTGGCATGTGGCACTGTCTTGTTGAAACTACACGTCCGCCAAGTCCAGCTCTTCCGTTTTGGGCAAAAAAAAGTTTGTTATCATTGCACGGTAGCGCTCGCCATTCACAATTACGTTCCGGCCATTGTTGTCTTTGAAGAGGTACGGCCCGATGATGCCACCGGCTCATAATCCACAGCAAACAGTGATTTTTTCGGGATGCATTGGTAGCCCTTGCAATGCTTCTGGCTGGCCTTCACTCCAGATGCGGCAATTTTGCTTGTTAACGTACCAATTCAACCAGAAATGAGCTTCGTCGCTGAACACAATTTTTCGATAAAAATGTGGATCTTCCTCCAACTTTGCCAGCGCCCATTCACCAAATGGGAAACGTTGTGGGAGGTCGTGTGGCTTTAATTCTTGCACCACCTGTATCTTATAAGGTTTTACATCCAAATCCTGTTGCAAAATTTTCCACGTAGTGGAGTAACAGATGCCCAATTTCTGCGAACGGCGGCGAAACGACATTTCACGGTCATCACTAACACTGGCGGATACAGCCGCAATATTTTCTCCAGTCCTCACTCTACGTCTGCGTGTTGGTGGTTTAATGTCCAATAATGTAAACTGGGTTCGAAATTTAGTCACAAGCTTCCGAATAGCTCCCTCAGTAGGCCGACCAAATTGCCCATAAATTTTAAGCAGTGCTCGATGCACTCTCTTAACCGAGCATGAATTTTGATAGTAAAATTCAATAATTTGCAAGCGTTGTTCGTTCGTAAGTCGATTCATGGTTAAATTATAGACCAAACTGAACAAGTTTGACAACGACACAAGACACGAAGACACGATTCACGCGTCATCTGTCAAAAACAGTGTTGCCAAAAAGATACTAGCAAAAAAATCATCCATTATAAGAAACCCGTTACAAATCATATGCTAAAGGTACAAATACTGGAAAATATTGTTATAATTCATTGGCATGCATTTGTATTTTTTTGAGATATCTTGAAAAGGTTAGACTTAGATCTAGGATGATACCTTTAACATCTATAGCAGAAATATGGATATATCAAATAGTAACAGCATCCGTATCTAACTGCATCTGAGACTACATCTTCAAGGAATGCAGCATATGATCAATGAATAAATGTACTGTGATCAACGATCACTATTTTTTTAAGATATATTTATAGACATACAATCGTTTACTGTATACGTAAAATGTCATATTTGCATGTCAAATTAGTATTAAGCTTTAGATTTTAGTACGGTTGAGTGTGAGAATAGATTTGCTAAGCTCCGCCAAGAACGCCGTTTATTATTATTATTACTATTATTATTATTACTATTATTATTATAATATTATTATTATTAATATTATTATTATTATATACATGAAATGTACTCAAAATCTCGTGTAGAATCCAAAACCTGAATAGCATACAGGGTGTTCTATTCAAAGTAAGAAACATAGTATCTATTTCCAGTATAACTCAAGGCTTCTTCATTTTGAAAATATTTAAGGTAAATCGCTCCCATCAGTACAATCCCAAATTTTCAGAGCTTATGTCAACCTTTAGACCAGAGTTCCCCAAACTTTTTTGTGTCGTAGACCCCTTGCCTTGTTTTTCCGTGTTGGGTAGACCCCCTACTTACCAGATATTGATTTCCTGTAAATTTCTAACTGTAGTGAAGTTTAGTATTAAAAACTTAAAGTAAAAATACATGTTAATTTATACATTTATTAATTTAATTTAAATTAAATCTACTCAAAATAAAATTTTGTATCTGTTATGTAAAATATACGTAGCATTAAGTAAACAGGTGTCTGACCAATAAGTGCCCGCATTGGGAATAAGTGCCCGCATTGAAAAAAAAAATAAGAGGAATGAAATAAAAAAAAGTGAGAAATAATAAAAAAAAGTTTTTTACTTAAAATAGTACAATAAGCGAGTTCGTTTACTAATTATAACATAAACGTATGTTCTACAATAATTTCACTGTTAGTTTGATTAAATTCCGCTTCTTATACGTTTAAGTGTGTACCTATCCTTGAATTTTCAGAATAATTTAAAAAAAAATATTTTCTATAAAGGGAATTCTTTAAAAAAATCAATGCGGGCACTTATTCCTAATGCGGGCGTTTATTGGTCAGAATAAAATAAACTATAAATAAAATAACATAAGCAATAAGTCAATATTTTTAGTGAGAAGGATGGCGTCAATTTTGTAAGGGTTAATTTTAAATCTCCTCGGCTAATGATGTCCAGTCTGTTTCTTGTTTTCGTTAGGAGATTGGTAACAGCGCTGAACCTCCTTTCCACTAGGTATGACGATGGAAAGGAAATTAAAAATTTCCTCGCTATATTCCATAATACGGGATAAGTAACGGGTATGTTGTTTTGCAGCCAGAATTGCTGATATCCGTTTTTAAACTGAACCTTAAGTTCTTCGTTTGTACTTAGTTCAGTCAGTTCCTCTTGTATTATGACATTCGTTTCTCCTATGTCACCATATGGATTAATTATCCACGGTGGTATTACCATAGTCAGAATATCCTCAAACCTAGATTCAAAATCTGAATGGAGGGCATTTAAATGTTGAACGTAAGTTGACACGTCGTCTTCCTGGCAGCTTGTCTGTGACAAATTGGGGAACTGAGAAAATTCGCCCCGTCCAATATTTTGCTTCATTGGTTTAACTCTGACAAGAAACGCTGATAATATGGACTTTGTTTTAATCAAATTTAAACTGTCGCCTTGCAATTGCAAATTAACCATATTAAATTTTGTAAACAAATCTGTTAAATAGGCGATGTCTGTTTTCCTCTTCATTAAATTTTCTTTTAAAATTTTATCTTTAGTATCCAGAAATTCTAAAATAGTCTCAAAAAGTGCAAAAAATCTTGTCAAACATAAGTACTTCAATGTGAAGGAGTAATTGATGAAAGTGTTCGTCATTTTCTTCACACAACTGCGCAAATAACCACGTATTCAACGCGTTGCTTCGGATTCGGTTTACTGCATCAACGACTAAATGAAGTGATTCATGCAATCTAACATTAAAATTTTCAGCAACTAAATGTTGTCGATGGATGACGCAATGTGTTGCTAACACCCCTGACACATTTTATTTTAAATAGCTTATAAATCCCCGATAACGTCCAACCATGGCAGGTGCTCCATCTGTAGCTACTGATATTATATTTGATAAAGGAATTGCTTTTTCAATGAAGTAATCCTTCAAAACATGAAATATTGATTCACCTTTAGTGTCGGTTATCAAAGTTCTTGCGAAGAGCAGTTCTTCGTAGATTTCTTGATTCATAATAAAACGAACATATGCCAATAATAATGCTGCATTATCAGGTAAAGATGACTCGTCCAGTTGTATAGAGAAATGGGTCGTTTGCAAATAATTACATAAGAAGCTTTCAATATCAGAACTCATTTCATCAATACGTCATTCAACAGTATTGTTGCTTAAGGGAATTCTTTTAATGATATCAGATGCAGGTTTGTGTAAAACAGTTTTTAAAACCTTTTCAACTGCTGGCAAAATTAATTAGTCTCCGATAGTATGCGGTTTTCCGGATTTTGCTATAAGTAACGAGATATTGTAAGACGCCCGCAAACCATCATCATTTCTTTGTGACGTCGAAGCGAACATTCTGTCCAGTGTAGGTCTCTTCTGAAATTTATCTTTGAGTGTTTGAAAGTATTTCAAATCTTTCTCTGTTTTATCGGGGTGGCATCTTCTCAGATGATCTTGCAGTTTAGATGGTTTCATAGCGTCATTGCCCAAAACTTTGTTGCATAAAAGGCACATAGGCGATTGTTTGTCCGGCAATGATGGAATGAAGCCAAATTTCAAATAATCAACACTGTACTGTCTACTTTTCTTTTTAGATTCGGACATGGCATCGGTCATCTGTGGGCAAAATTAAATTATTTAAATAAGACAGAAAATTCAGCAGCTGTTTTTAAAAAATATTTTTTGATTTCTCCGAAAACATTCCATAATTCGAACATCTTCTTGGAACAATTAGCTCGAATTACGGAGATTGCACTGTAATTATATTACCGATTGCCAAAACTTTCAAAAATTAACTATTGAGGAGTACTCGTGTAATTGTGCATGATTGAATATTTAACTACTAATAACTAAAGTCATGATTGGCGTAATTTATCTATCTTTGCTAACTACGAGTACAAAACTAAAATTTAATAAAAAATAATGTATTTACTTTTCTCCGGCACTCTCAAACAAAATAACACTGACTCACTTTAATGTGTGTGATATAGTATCTGTTTATATTTTTTAAAATATTTTCTTAGCACTTTCCTTTTCAAGATTCAGGAAACGAATAAACGTATTTGTCCCACATTCGTATTTATAGAGTGACGAATTGAACAAGTCAGTGCAAGGTAGCGAAGCTCTGAGACTGCGACTCTCAGGATTTTACAAGTTCAAAATGTATTGCAACCACAAAGCGAATACCAACATCCTACAACTTACACAATTTTATAAAATAATAAATTTTTTACTTCATAGGTACTTTTATAAATATAATGTATATGTTTTGATATTATAAGATAGTACGATGTAAGTAAATAGGTACTATCAGTGTATGTGTTGAGGTCCACTGTCGTGGACCCCATATTCATTTCATGGACCCCCAAATTTTTTTCGCTGACGTAGACCCCTTGCAGGTTGTCATAGACCCCTAGGGGTCGATATAGACCACTTTGGGAATCAATGCTTTAGACTAACAGACGTGGAAAAGCCGATATATGTTACACGATATCTGGCGGAGAAGTTGTTTTTATATTTCCAAAAACAGGTCTAGCCTGTCAACGCCAACAAAAAGCCATTACACGCATCTGTTGGCTTGATGCTGCCAAGGGTGAGACACCGACAAAACATTGAATAAAATCGCCGAAATTAACAACAGACAGATGTTTCAACGGTGATACCTGAGGTAGAGGAGAAAAATAAAATCCTATTAGCTGATTCCTTTGGCAGGAAGTAAGGAGCTTTTAAGCACGAATTAAAGTTATGCTTTTTTCCGACGCACAAAAAGAAGAATAAACGGCACTATCCGAAAGAATGATACAAACAACAGTCTGTTTTAACTATTAGAAGTGCAATTATTCTAGGCTGAGGACATATCATAATTACAGAGTTTTGTAGGTTCTTGAAGTAGTAGTAGTTAGTAGCAGTAGTGTAGTAGCAGCAGTGGAAAAGTGAAGTTTGGTAACCAATACTTATATGCTTATACACCAATTCATCAAGCCTTCCTGATCTCCTTATGAAGGTCAGGTTATCCTTCCAGTCCGCTTCACTATCAAACTTCATACCCCCACATACAAATATATTAGTCCTAAGCGAAACATTGCCTCGTTCTGCTCTAAGCATATGGTGCAGATAGGAAAATATTTTCATCATAGAAGGGACAACTGACTCTTCAGTCGGTAAGAGCCCCAAAGGTCTAGCTATTCACCTGCCCTTGTGCAGTAGCCAGATCGTCCGACTTTTGTCAATAAGTCTCTTGGTCTACCCCGCACATGAAACTCTCGCTCGCCAGATTTTGTCAGGTTCCTATGCGCCCATTCATTGCGTTCACCTGGCGCCTGTTCATTTCCAGCTGAGGTTTGGGACCGATGCGCGAGCCCCTAGCATCCAGCCTAGCTGCTGTTTGGCTTCCTGCCGAAGTAAGGCCACTTATCTGGATCGGGTTAAGCTCTGAAGAGCAGTAGTGCTTTTCTGTGTTACGTGAAGCCGGATTTTGTTTTAGAGAAATCGCTAATCGGGTGAACGAAAATCAAGCTACTGAAATGGGATGTTGTCTAGCGTGGTTCCAAGAAGGCTGAAATCGACGAATTAGATTTACTGGACGTCAAAGACAGACTACAGAGCGACAGGATCATTATTTGAGGCAACTAGCACCTACAGAACGATTTTCCTCAACAAGGGCAGTTGCTGTCGGAAGAGCAATAACAATGAGGACAATTTATCACCGAATAAGCTCTTTTGCATGAGTACAGATTCTGTTTGGTCACATATGCTGGCCTTTCAAGAGTAGGGATGAGATGTGGTGAATGACAGTACGTCCATTATTCCATTGAACGGCAGCAGGTCACGATTAGTGTTCATTCGAGGTATCATGCCTATCCAGCGCTATACCCACGAAGTTTTACAACCACATATGTTTCCCTTCTTGGAAACATTGCAAGATCCATTTTTTTCAGCAGGACAATGCACGACCTCATGTCGCACGTGTTAGCTTAGACCTTTTATAAGTGTACGGAGTAAATCTGCTTCAGTGGTCTCATCGATCTCCAGACCTTTCCCCTATCGAACATGTATGGGAAGAATGTCGCAAAATTCACCATAAACTTTGGAGGCTCTACGAGACCAAATTCAGATGGCCTGGGATACACCAAGAAGCAGACCTAAAACTTGTAAAAGTATCTTCAAAATTACAGTACTGCTAGTCCGTGTTGCATTTCCTATTTCATTTCATTCTCAGTCCTTTATTATTCTCTTTTTATATTTCAGACACACAATTATATTATGCTTTTCGTATCAATGATGCGCATCTTTCTCCTTTGATTTGATCAACAATGATCGAGATACCATGTATCACATTTCGGCTGCTCATACCAACTAGCAAAGTAGTGCTATAAGCTTTTGGTAAAAGAACCGTTCAGCCATAAAAGCTCCCTTTTGTTGTTGCCTGAACACCAAAATGCTGGCTTAATGTTGTGTGGAATGCAAATTTGCTTTCTGCAACATATTTGCTCTAAAATGAGGTGTTTAAAATATTCTTATAGCATAGTTATACAACACCTTATAGGAAAAACTTTTAACTGTTGCATAAACGTTTATACAACTATTTTATACGGCATATTTGCACGGTAGTCAAAATGGTTGTGTTGTGGCATCCATGCTAACGTTTATACAACAAACCCGAGCCTTGTTGTTTTGCTGTGCAAATTTACTACTTTAGCCAACAAATTGCTCCCAACGGAAGCACGTATAGAACTGTTGTTTAGTAACTGTTAAAGGCTGTACATCTGCAACAATATTACAACTGTTGTAGTACAAAATTGCTGTGCTCGGCATACATTTGTTGCTAAATATGTTGGTATACAACTTCACCATAACCTAACTGTCTGCTGTCATATTTTTGTTAAAATGCCATAACCAATGTTTTAAGACAAACAACGCATGCATATTGGTTCAAAAGGTTTTATCAACTGTTCAAACAGAAGATATAGGATCTGGTACAAATTCTGAGTAAATCATTCGACTCTGTCGGTATTTCATTTCAGACATTTGTCAAATTGTTGTATAACACCTGCAGACACCACCAACATATTCTAATAAACCAAAGACAACATGGACGATGCCATGATTATACATAACCACCCGCCATATTGGGTAAAACATTTATTCCGCTATTTAATATTAAATAATTATGTTTCAGTTTAAAATTACAGATATAAAGTGATGAACATTAGTGTAATTGTGTCTAAATATAGGATTTGTGGAAGATTTAACGCAGATAAGTTCAGTTTTCCATCTTAAAAATCTAGACATACGTTTGATCCTTATTAAAATATGATTCAAATAAGAAGCCCGTAAAAATTGCGTAACTACTTTGCACGATAATCACAATAAAATTTGCTGCGCAAGTAATTCAGTAGCCCTATATCACAGTGTAGAAGTTTATCATATACCTGTGTATGATATTCACAATGGCCGATAGGTAAGTAAACAAGATGACTGTAATGTGTTAGTTATATATTCTTCACTTCGTCTATACAATATATAAGGAATAGTTTGGTTGCAATAAAGTAGAATCACGTAACAGAATAGTTGTGTAGTTGACAAAAACTGAATCTTGCAGTGATGCAAATGTCCTATAGCAGCTGCAAGAGGCTTACACTTTTGTTGTATAACTGTTACCTGCAGCCCTTATACAACCTCTTAAATGACTGAAGTGTCCTATTAGGTGTGCCCATTCCGCTTGTATAGCTGTTCTAAGACAGTTTTGCCAATGTTCTTACAGTATACAATGCTCTGTAAGGAATACTGTATAATCATTCTTGCAACTCTAATAGGAGTGATAATTGTTAGTTGGGTAATTTAACACTGAATGCTTCTAAATCAAAAGTTATGATTTTTGGACCAAAGCAGAAACGAATCGCAATAGAAAGTGGATATCTATATCGGCTCAACATCAACAACATTCCTTTACCAGTTGTAACTGTAAGCAAAAATCTGGATTTATGGTTATATAATGACCTAAAATTTGACCATCATATAAAGAAGTTATGTTTAAAATCTTATTGTATCCTCAAACAATTATATCCTCAAAGACTAAATAGTAAATTAAAATTACAGCTATGTGATTCACTAATCATTTCAAGGATAAAATTTGAAGATGTTAACAAATTAGCAACCAGAAATAGTCAATCTCTAGTTATACCCCACCACTCTACATAGTTATACAAGAAAAGTTTTTCATACATTGCGGCCAAACACTTCAACAGTCTACCGTAATTACAGTCTAATAAATTTCAAGAAGAAATTAAAAGCAATGCTTCTATCCGCCTCCTCTACGTGTTGATAATTAGATCAATTTTAAAAAAGTCAGCAAGAATAAAACTAGCTGCATGATTTTTCGAGTCATATGATATGGACATCATGATTTTATAATAAATGCCTTAAAACTTAAACATATGTACTTGTATACATTTAAACATTATTAGGCAATTATC